ACCAGTCTAGTTGCTCTCCTCTGCCCTTGCTCCAGCACCTCAATGTCTTTCTTGTTCTGAGGTGCCCAAAACTGAACACAGTACTTGAGGTGGGGCCTCACCAGTGCTGAGAACGGGAAGAGGATCACTTCCATAGACCTGCTTGCCACTCTATTTCTAATACAAGCCAGGATGCCACTGGCCTTCTTGGCCGCCTGTGCACACTGCTGGCTCATATTCAGCTGCTTGTCAATCAGCAGCCCAAGGTCCCTTTCCTCTAAGCAGCTTTCCAGCCACTCTTCCCCAAGCCTGTAGCATTGCCTGGGGTTGTTGTGGTCCCAGTGCAGGAGCTGGCACTTAGCCTTGTTGAACCTCATACAATCTGCCAAGGCAAATTGATCCAATTGATCCATGGGCAAATTGCCCATCAATCCAGCCTGTCCAGGTCCCTCTGCAGAGCCTTCCTACCCTCAGGCAGATCAACACTCCCACTCAACTTGGGGTCATCTGCAAACTTACTGAGGGTGCAATCTATCCCCTCATCCAGATCACTGATAAAGATGTTAAACAGAAGTGGTCCTGACTCTGAGCCCTGAGGACCCCACTTGTGACCAGCTGCCAGCTGGATTTAACTCCATTCACCACCACCCTCCGGGCCTGGCTGTCCAGCCAGTGTTTTACCCAGCAGAGTGTATGCCCATCCAAGCCAAGGGCAGCCAGGTTTTTAATGAGAATGAAAAAGGGAGACAGTGTCAAAGCTTTACGAAAGTCCAGGTAGACAACAAGTCCAGGTAGAGCCTTTCCCTCAACTACCAGGTGAGTTGTCATGGAAGGAGATCAAGTTCGTCAAGCAGGACCTGCTTTTCATAAATCTGTGCTGACTGGGCCTGATCAGCAGATTGTTCTGTACATGGTGCATGGTGGCACTCAAGATGATCTGCTCCACGACCTTCCCCGGCACTGAGGTCAGGCTGACAGGTCTGTAGTTTCCTGGATCCTCCTTTCAGCTCTTCTTGTAGATGGGCGGCACATTTGCCACCTTCCAGCCCACTGGGACTTCCCCAGTTTGCCAAGACTTCTGGTAAATGATGGAAAGAGGCTTAGTGAGCACATCCACCAGAGTTACCTGATGTCAGATGAGAGAGACCACATTACATCAAGTGAAAGGACCTACCTACACTAGTGTTTTCTCTCCAGCAGTGGCCTGTAGCAGATGCTATGGGAAAATGCACAGGTGAAACAGTTTAGCAGGTGACACACAGACCAAGCACAGCGCTCCTGCCCGGGCACGCAGTGTAAAATAGGTCCTCTGCCCTTCCCACCCTCTGGCTGGGCTGGGGTCTGGGTCTCATTGCTTCCTCTGCTGCTGCTCCTGCATCTCATTTCCTACCGGCGAAGAACATTGTTCACCAAGACAGGTCACCTTCTCTGGCCTTCCCGAGTAAGATGGGCTTGGCTGCTCCAAGGCTGTCGTGGGCTGTCCCTGGGACCCTGGGCTTGGGCAACCCATCTGCTGCAGGGCTGTAGGGAATGGCTCACTGAGCAAGGAAGGAAACCAAGTAGTCCCCAGGTTGTTCTGTGGCTCAGGTTTCCAGATCAGGGTCCTGAGGGCACCACTGCCCGGCCTTTCCTTCTTCTCTGGAATAGACTGTGCAGATCCCTTAGTACAGGAGCACAATTCATCCTTTATCGTCATCACTATTGATGCAAAACTTGCATTTCTTTCAGCTTGGTCAAGGAAAGAGTAAAGATTTCTCATTGGTGTCAGTCATTGACTGAGCAGTTTCCCTTGGAGGTTCACACACATCCCCACTCCCTCCTCCAGTGGGGCTGCTTATGCTGCAAGAGAGGTTGCAGGCAGAGTTTTCTCTCCCAGTGTACCCACTCCAGCTTATTTTCTGTAAAGAAGACTGGATGGTGACTGTGGAGAGATTTCATTAAATCCATGATTTGAAAGTGCAGCAGCAAACAAGTGCGCCAGCAAGGAAGGAACATTAGATAAGCACTCATTTCAAATAAAGTAATCTTATTTTTTCAGCTCAAAGTAGCAGGAGTTGTCTTTGCAAAGACCTCATGTTTTGGCCTTCATATATAGTATCTGAAAAAATTTTTGGGTGGTATCAGCTAGCTAAGATAAAGATGCTAAAGTCAGAGAAAGGTGGACTGCAACATTATCTGTAATGCAGGCAGGCTTGCTGCTTCCTTCCAGCAGGTCAGAGATTTTCCAGTGCCTTTTGGAAAGTAATGGTGACTTGGGTTCACCACAAGGCTTAGAAATATGTTTTAAGTTACTTTTAATTTGTCACTGTCCCTTCAATTAGTCCAGGAGTAACAATGTTACATTTGGCTTAGATCAAACATTGTATTGTAGTATGTGTTTGGTACAAAACAGGAAAAAACATGGAGAACTACGCAGTTTTGCTGAGAATAACTGATACCAGTTCAGCAAAACACCTGTCTTAAAAAAATATATTTTTAAAGAGTAGTTTTATGTGACCTCCTTGAGTCTATCAACCTGTGTGTGGAGTTGTGCATGGCTTTGTGCCAGCAAAACTTTCCCACTATTTGGCCCTTTTTGGCCAGGTTTTTTAAGGTAGATTTTTATTTTTTTTAACACAGCATATTTATGACATACAGAGGCTACTTCCCCACACAGCATATTCCAAATAGTCCCTGACCACTGCAAGACTCTTAATGAACAGTGTTCTGTTTTTCACAGAATTTGTGCCAATTATGAGGATGTTTTTTCCTTGATTCAGAATTAAATTTCCCATAAGACAAGAAGAAGAAGAAAGGTCTTATGGATGTGGCTTGGCTTGTGTTATGTGGCTTGGCTTCTCCACTGCATCAGAAACTTTGTCTGACCTTGGAC